TGGTCTACTTTGATGATATCTTGATCTATAATCGAAGTTTGGAAGAGCATTTGTGCCACCTTCAGCAAGTCTTTGAGTTTTTTAGGCAAGACAAGTTCTATGGCAACACTAAGAAGTGCACCTTTACCGTGGACCAAGTCATCTTCTTGGGATATGTTGTGTTTTCTCGTGGGGTGCTTATGAATGTGGAGAAGGTCAAAGCAATTGTGGAATGGCCCACTCCTTCTAGTATCCAAGAAGTACGGAGTTTTCATGGTTTGGCTACTTTCTATAGGCGATTTATCCGCAACTTTAGTAGCATCGCTGCCCCTTTGACCAACATTCTCAAGCTTAAAGCTTTTGAGTGGAGCAAGGAAACCGCCGATAGCTTCCATCTTTTGAAGAAGCTGCTTACCGAGGCTCCAATTTGGCATTATCGGATTTTGACATGACCTTTGAACTTGATTGTGATGCATCGGGATTGGGTATTGGAGGCATTCTTAGCCAAGAAGGATGGCTCATTGCATTCTTTAGTGAAAAGTTAAATGGGGCTGAGCTCAAGTATTCCACTTATGACTTGGAATTTTATGCCATTATCCAAGCCATCAAGCATTGGAGCTACTATCTTGCATACAAAGAGTTTGTGCTCAACACTGATCATGAAGCTCTCAAGTACATCAACAGTCAATCCTATCTTAACAAGCGCCATGCCAAATGGGTGCCCTACTTGAAACAATTCACATTCTCTTTGCGCCACAAATCGGGGGTTCTTAATAAGGTGGCCGATGGGTTGAGTAGGCGAACGACTTTCTTGATTGAAATGAAAAATGAAATTGTGGGTTTTGATAAATTTTGCACATTCTATGCACGTGATTCTTACTTTTTCAAGATCTTTTATGCTTTGCAAAGGGGGGATAGGATGGCTTATCCAAGTTACATGATAAGGGATGGATTCCTCTTCCATGGCCTTAAGCTGTGTGTTCCTAGTTGTTCCTTGAGGGCACATTTGTTGGTTGAGCATCATAAGATGGAGCATTTTGATAAGGACAAGACCCTTGGGTTGCTTCAAGATGTTTATTATTGGCCGGGCATGACCAAGGATGTGTAAAGTCATGTGAAGTGTTGTCAAATTTGTCAAAGAAACAAGGGGACTGCCATTAATGCGGGGCTATATCTACCTTTACTGATGCTGGATGCTCCTTAGCGGTGCATTAGTATGAACTTTGTGTTGGGCCTCCCTCCTACTCAAAGGCGGAGTGATTCTATCATGGTAGTGGCGGATCGTTTCTCTAAGATGGTACATTTCATACCTTGTAAGAAGACCATCGATGCTATAAACATTGCTAATCTTTTCTTCAAAGAAGTCTACAAGTTGTATGGGGTGCCTACTTCTATTGTGTCCGATAGAGATGCTAAGTTCCTTGCTCACTTTTGGAGAACTTTGTGGAGGAAAATTGGCACGGACTTAAATTTTAGTACTACATTCCAACCGCAAACTGACAGTCAAATGGAGGTCTAAGTTCCTTGCTCACTTTTGGAGAACTTTGTGGAGGAAAATTGGCACGGACTTAAATTTTAGTACTACATTCCAACCACAAACTGACGGTCAAATGGAGGTCGTGAACCGTAGCCTTGGCAACTTGTTACGGTGCCTTGTGGAGGATCACCCCAACAGTTAGGATGACATCCTTCCTTTGGTTGAATTTGCTTACAATTCATCTATCAACCACACCATAAATACTTCTCCATTTGAAGTAGTTTATGGGACAAGGCCTTCAAGTGTGGTTGATTTGGTGCCTTTACCACTCTCACGGAGAGGAAGCGTTAAGGCGGAGGAAATGGCCACATTTATGAAAAGCATTCATTCTGAAGTGAGGGCCCAAATTGAAAGGTCTAATGTGAGGTATAAGGTGGCCGGTGATGTGCATAGACGAAGAGTGGTGTTTGAAGTAGGGAATCTTGTGTGGGTGGCATTGAGCAAAGAGAGATACCCCATGGAACCTACACTAAGTTGAGTGACAAGAATGTGGGACCTTGTGAGGTGTTGAGCAAGATCAACGACAATGCTTATAAAGTCAATATACCACCTCATTTAGGCTTCTCTAACACCTTTAACGTCCAACACCTTGTACCCTACTTTCCGGATGCCTCTTCCATTCATGATGCCTCTATCTTTGTAGACTAGTTCCTTGAAAAGTTGTCATCTTGTACTTTGGTTTTTTGTGTCTTTCATGTCTAGTATTGGTTTTATTTTGTTGTCTTCACTTGAGGACATGTCTTTTCTTAAGAGAGGGAGTATGATGTAGTGTCGTGTGCATAACAAGTGTTAGATAGTGTATCATATAAATAGATGAGTATCACATCATTTGTAACTGACTTGGATATATTGAATTGAATTGAGAATTTCTCTCTAATATCTCTCTCCTCTCTCTCTCTAGTTCTTGATTAACCCTTTCATCAAATATCACCACTAATGCTAATATCAGTATCTTGGTTTTAAGGTTATTGCTAAAAATATGAAAACGTGTTTCCTATAAATAAATATTTTTTGCTGAAATAAACAAAGCATTAGCTCTTCATTTTTTGTATGTGTTAATGTACATGATGCAGGATAAAAATGGCTATGGGGTTATTTTACTATGGGTTAAGAGACACTACAGCGACATACGCTACAAACTTTCTCAACCTCATTCCTGTTGCCACTTTTGTCTTCTCCATCATAGCCAGGTATGATAACATCTTCACAGTCTGATCTAACTACATTAATTAATTTCTTGAAATTTATTTGTCAATTTTTTATGCACACAGAATATTATTATTATTATTTAAATATTGTTAGGTTTTTTTTAACATTAACATTCGTTGTTGAATATAAAAATCAAAATATTATGTTTAAATATGGAAATTAGAATAGGAATTATTTTAATTATAGAAATCTTACCTTGTGTATATTATTTCTTAAATTGTATCATGAATATATTATATATACATGGCCTCTACCTCATTGATTGGTTAGGCAAATAATCTGTTTAATTCTTTTTGGTATTAGAGCCTTCCTAGTCATCTCTCTCAATCACCCATCACCACCAACTACCTTTTTTCTCCTCTCTAGCCTCTGACAACCCTTTTCCAACTCCTTTTCTCCCTCCAGCAGCCTCAGCCTAGCCTCAACCCAGCCTTTGCAGCCCCTCTCCTTCCTTATCTTCACCTCAGTAGGCCTTCTATATCCTTACCGAGGCTCTAGTTGCTACCAACCAGACTTTGTTCTGGTCTTACGTACTTTGACTGTCTTTTTAGGTGGTCTGTGGCTTTTTTTTTTTCTCCCTTTCTTGGGGTGATTGGATTGATATATTAAGCCCCTTTGTCTGTCCTTTTATTCTTTTGGGCTACGGGGTTTATTCAGTAACATCTATTTAGATAAGCCATTGAGTTTTTTTCTGGCTTCTTATTTTTTCTTGGACTGTGTTATTATCTTTGTGTGTTTCTTAGCCTCTCTTCTTCCACCATGATTGATCCATCCTTTGCTAATATATCCATTAAGCCTGTTCCAACTAGGTTTTTTTTTTTTTTGGTCATGTTAAGGCTCATTGCTTCAAACTTCGTCTTGAGTTGAGGCAATGTTCCTCTCACCCTCGTGGTACAGGAACTCATTGTGTGGTTTATGAGTTGTCTAAGTATACCCGTGCTAGCTATATCCCCCTTATGACTTGTGCTCTGAGTGCTTTTTATCTTATACATTCTGATGTCTAGGACCTTTCCCTTGTCACTGCTTTTTTCTGGTCAAAGATATTATGTGACTTTTATTGATGATCACACTAGGTGCACTTGGGTTTATCTAATTCGTCGTAAGTCTGACGTCTTTCCCATTTTTGTCTAATTTTTATAGACGGTTAAAACTCATTTTCATGCAGTTGTTAGGACTATCTGTTCTCATAATGGTGGGGAATATATTTCTAATCCATTTCGTTCCCATTTTAAACAAACCGGTATTCAACAACTTACATGTCCTTAGACCCCTGAACAAAATGGTGTTAATAAACGCAAAAATCGTCATATTATGTCTGTTGTATGGTGTCTTCTTCGAGATATGGGTGTTCCCAAGTCTTATTGGCATATGGTTGTCCTTATTGCTGTTTACCTCATTTATAGGACCCTTAGTCGTGTGTTGTATAGACTCACTCCGTTTCATACCCTTATGCCCACCACCACTATGTTTCCACTCTCACCTCGTATCTTTGGGTGTACTTGTTTTTTTCAAAATTAGAGTCCTACTCGCACAAAGTTAGATGACAAATCTATTCGTTGTATCTTCTTAGGGTATTCTTCCATGCCTAAAGGGTATAGGTGTTATGACCCTGTGTCTCGTCACTTTCACCACACTTTGGATGTTACATTTTGTGAGGATCTTTCTTTCTTTGGTACTAACCCTTCTTTACATGCTTCTCCTCTTATTACTTCCACTGTTACCCTGGTGACCATTTTGGACGAAGTTGAGAATGAAGCTATCCCCCTTCCTCCTTCTCAACCTTTTGTCTCCTCCTCCATTGCAAGTATACTCCCGTTACCTACGTACTTTGTCCCCCTTCCTTCTTCCGACCTCTAAGTCAGGTAACTCTTCTACTTTAGCTTCTCCTCCACCTCCTCATTATAACCCACGTCGAGATAGACATCCTCCAAATCGTTTGAGTTATTTGAGTAGTACTTATCATCCTATTTCCCAGTATCTTTCCTATGACAAGGTTTCCTCTTCTTACCATTCTTTTCTTGGCAAGCTTGAGTTAGAGTCCATTCATCGTTCTGTATCTGAGGCCTTTCAAAATCCCAAATGGGTAGCGGCTATGCAGACTGAGATGGTGACCTTAGAACAGAATCACACTTGGGATCTTGTACCTTTACCTCCTGGGCAAAGCACAGTTGGTTGCAAAAGGGTGTTTACTATAAAGTACCTTGTTGATGGCTCAGTTGACCATTACAAAGCCCGCTTGGTGGCCAAAAGTTTCACACAGATTCCTAGCAAGGATTTTGGTGCCACTTTTGCCCCTATCACCAAGCTTACTTTTGTACATCTCCTTATCTCCCTTGCAGCATCTCATTCCTGGCATCTTCATTTGCTTGATGTCAAGAATGCATTTCTCCATGAAGATCTTCTTGAGACAGTTTACATGGCTCCTCCACCTGATTTTTGGGTTGAGGGGGAGTATTCAGAAAAAGTGTGCCGGTTACGCAAATCCTTGTATGGTCTGAAACAATCTCCACGAGCATGGTTTGGTCATTTCAGTTCTGTTATTATATCTATGTGCTTTGTTCAATGCCACTCCGATCACACTTGTTTCATTCACTGGAATTCTGCAGGTTAGTGCATAGTCCTGTTAGTTTATGTAGATGATATTATTCTCACATGTGATGACTCTATCGGCATTGGTCAAGTAAGGAAGGACTTGGGCCAAAATTTTGATATTAAGGATTTGGGATGTCTCAAATATTTTTTGGGAATTGAGGTGGCTTGCTCAAGAGAGGGCATCTCCTTATTTCAAAAGAAGAAACCTTGACTTGCTTCAGGATACTAGATCCTAATGTCAAACTCATATCAGAGTTTGTTAAATTACTGGATGACCCAAGCATGTATCACCGTCTTGTTGGATGCCTCATTTATTTGACCAACATTAGACCTATTTGCAGTTAGTGTTGTGAGTTAGTTCATGCATGCACCTCATAATGAGCACCTTGATAGGGTTCATCATATTTTGAGGTATTTAAAAAATTCTCCTGGCTTGGTATTATTCTTTACCGTTGGTCTCCAATCTGGGCTCTCCTGTTTCACCGATGCAGACTATGCAGGATCTAGGACTGATCGGAGTTCCACTTCTAGCTTCTGTACTTTTTATGGTGATCATCTTATCTCATGGAAAATTAAAAAAGCAAGCAGTGATTTCTAGGTCTTCTGCAGAGGCTGAGTATTGGGCTATGGCACATGGGACACGTGAGATTCTTTGGATCCGCTCTATTCGGGCAGAGTTGGGTTTTGAGGAGACTGTTCCTTCCTCTTTATTTTGCGACAACAAATCTACCATTATGTTATCCTCTGATTATGTACATCATGAGCATACCTAGCATATCGAGGTTGACATACATTTCATTCGAGGAAAGGTTCGGACTACCAATGTGCGTCCATCGTTTGTCTCTTTTTCTCAACAGTTGGCAGAGATGTTCAAAAAATCTATGGGACCAACTTTGCCCCAGTCTTCCATTGACAAGCTACATTTGTTGAATATCTTCACACCAGCTTGAGGATGAGTGTTGAACATAGAAATCAAGATATTATGTTTGAATATGGAAATTAGAATAGGAATTATTTTGATTATAGGAATCTTACTTTGTGTGTATTGTTTCCTAAATTGTATCATGAACATATTATATATACATGACCTCTACCTCATTGATTAGTAAACCAAATAATTATTTTCATTCTTTTTTCGTTGCAATATTTTGTTTCTCATAACTAAATTTTATTGAATTTAAGAAAATTGCAAATTATTTCTACCATAAAAAATGTTATGGTGACTTAATTTGAGTACTAATTTTTTGAAAATCATATGATACATATCATTGATAAATTGATATAAACTCAATAAAACTAATATATTAATATTAATCTATACTATTATATGAGCAAAACATTATTACGCCTTTGAGATTGAAACTATCAATCATTTTTTTCTCAAATTTTAAAGTATTTAAATTATTATGAATTCCACATGTCAATATATCTAGCAATGATTGGTTGAATTTGTTTTTCTCTTTAGTTTAAATTTCCAATTTGTCCCTTAAATTATGTTATTATATTTGCAATGTTATAAGTTATTTACAGAAACTTATACTGTTCTAATCAATATAATCAAATTGTTTGAATCACTCTTACTAACGTTTGACAATAATAAAAAGACAAATCTATAAAACAAAACCCATTATTTAGGAGTTAAAAATCTCATTTAATAGAGTTGACAAAAAAATTGAAATTCTAACAAGGGAAGCAATTTGTATTTTAAATAAATCTCAGAGAGTATATTTGCAATTTACCCTTAAGTAATATAAATTTTGATTATCAATTAGATTATCAAACTACCTCTAGTGCAAAAATCTTTTAAGTAATTCATTATATTTGTACGAGTACGAAATAATCGTTGCTTGTATAATCCTAGTAATCAAGCTGGCGCTCCTCCAAACGATGTCGTATGGCCTGAAATTACAAGAACACATGAGCTTACCAATGGATGTGTGCCAGAAAACCCCTCTGATGCTTAAGTCAATACTTAAGATCAATATTGGAAAAAGCTCTATTGAATCTTGTGAATAGAATTGTGTTACCTCATTTTAGGTTATCTATGAGTTTTTTATAATTTTTACATGGCAGAATCCTAGTAGGATTCTAATTCCTCATCGTAGAATCCTATCAGGAATCACCTTCCTAAAGGATAATTCCATCCTTTAACACCCTCATCACTAAAGAAGGTGAAATAGCACAACTCCTAGACCGACAACCGAGCAAATCATCATCCCAGTCACTTACCTAACGTGCAATCAACTGAACCTTACTGCTTCAAGGGATGTGCATCAAACAATAGAATCTGACCCACCAGCCCGACCCGTCCGAACTTGATAGTCAGCGGTTGATTTCGAATTAAGGAATGATCAGTAGTGGTTCCATGCACAGCAATATTTCAGATTCA